TGTCATTTGCGAATGTGTTTTACTAATTTTAACTTCCCGTAGGGTAAGTTATAGTAATCGCAAAAAAATCGTAAATATTTTTTTTATATATTTTTTCGTTTCAAAACTTTCTGGTATACCTTATGAAAATTGATGTATGTGTGTGTATGTATATATGCATGTATGTATGTATGTGTGTGTAAATGCAACAATTTTTCGTTCACGATTTTGAGAACACGGGTCATCTGCTAATGCAGCGAGATTGCTTTTAAAAAAGTTTAAAATGTTCAAAAAGTTATGAATAAAAATGTTCAAAAAGTCGAATCTTATAAAAAAGTTCAGTTCTCAAAAATCTATTTGTTTCTCAAAATTTTTAAGCTTTTTTAATAAAAAAATCTAGTTTTTGGTACGGGATGCTATGAATCACTAGTTTACTTTTTAACTTCCCGTAGGGTAAGTGGTAGTAATCGCACAAAAAAACGAAAATGATATGATATATATTTTATTCAGAATATATCAATATAACAAATCAAACTAATTCTGTAATGGAAAATTGTCATCCTATTATCAAAATGATTGACTTTCTTGATCACTATGTTTAATCTGATTTGTATTAATATAAAACAGTGACAAGGAAAACAGGACGAGCTTACAATTTTGATTACATTCATCATTAACTTTTATCCGGCATATTAGACGTAATATTATATTTTATGCATTATGGTAATTGTATACTTTTATATGTGATTGGATATTGTCTTTTGAATATGGTATTAATGTGTGTTAAGGGATTGGAATCTTATATATAAAAATGGATCGCAAAATGTGTTGGTAAGCGCATAACTCAACAACGCCTAAACCAATTTGACCAATTCTTTTTTTAAAATGTTCGTTTAAGCCCAAGGATGGTTCTTACGGCGAGAAAAAATCGAATAATTGCCGGGAAAACCCTAAAAACAGACCTTTTCTTTTTCACATACAAAAGTTTTCTAACTAAAACGTAGAATCAATTCGAGCTTTATTTTTTTTATAATACGTAGATAAATAAGGTTAATTAGAGAGTTTATAAAGGTAAACTGGTGGACAGGTAAATTGGAATATATGTAAAATGGTAGAGAGAAGAACTGATAGATAGATAAATATGCAGACGAAAAAACACGTTAACAGGTTAATTGGTAGACATGTAGAACGGGATGACAGGTTAATTTGTAGGCTGGTAAAATGGTAGATTGATAAACAGGTTGATAACTAAATTAGTAGACAAATTGATAAACAGGTTAATTGTTCAACAGGTAAATTATTGAACGGGTTAATTGGTAGACATTTAGAACGGGATGACAGGTAAATTGGAAAACAGAAATTAGTTGGCAGGTAAAATCGTGTATTGATATACAGGTCTATAGGTAAATTGGTAGATAGGTAAATTGAATGACAGGTGAATTGGTAGACAAGTAAATTGGCGAAAAGGTAATTTGTTGGATAGCTGGTGGTCAGGTAAATTGGAGGATATGTAAAATGGTAGATTGATTAACAAGTTTTTAAGTAAATTTGTAGACAAATTGTTGAATAGGTAAATTGTTGAACAGATAGTAGTAATGTTAAACTAAATGTAACTAGCTGTAAGTGGAATTCTGTCTTAAGGCAATTAAGGCATCGTGCCTTAAGGCAAATTTCTGGAACTTCCCGTACCAAAAATTATTATTTTTTTAAAAACGATTAACATTTTTGCAAAAAATTTTACTTCGAAAAAATAAGATTTTTTAGAAATTTGAAATTGGACAAAAAATTACTTTTTTTGAAAAAAAATTTTTTTTAAAAAAAAAATTTAAACAATTTTTTTTATAAAAATTTTTTTTGGAAAAAATGTTATCTTCATTTTGATATATTTGGAAGATCTGAACTTTTTTTCAAAGCAATCGTACTGCTTTAACAGCATAGAGACAAAATATAAAGCGCGTAAGCGCCGCGTCGCTGTCTAACGGAAAAACATTGGTACGGAACCTATAGGAATGTAAACAAAACTTATACTTATTGTTAAAATCTCAATAAAATATCTGATAATTTGATATGCATATGTCTAATGTCTAATGATTATTGTTGACCGCCAAATGTTATTTTTTTTAGTTTTTTTTTTACTAGATCTCTGAAACCGCTAGACCTATCTTCATGAAAATTTGATCAAATCTTCATCTTGTTAATACAAGTAAAATGTTTTTTGAACTATACAAATCTCTTAAAAACTGAGTTACCGTTTTTGGCCCTTTTTGCCCCATATCTTCGGAACGGCTAGAATATTTTTTGAATTATTCAAATTGCTTCGTCCGTGTTCCCGAAATCCGTGTTCCCGACGAAAATTTGTATCCGAACACACACACATGCACGCACACACACACACACACATACATCAATTTTCTCCAAGGTATGCCAACATATTCAGAAACCTCTGAAACGTAAAAGATATATAAAAATTTTCATTTTCGATTTTTTTGCGATTACTTACCCTATGGAAAGTTAATTATAAATAAATCAATTTATCATCTCCAGAACATTAACAATCGTCATTTCATTTCGAATCAAATTCAAAAAAAAAAAAATAGTTGCCAAATTTACACAAAATTGAAAAAGTGCTCCGGCATAGTCACAGTCTAAACGCATTTGCAAATAATTCTGTGCGACATTTTCACTTATACTGTGCTCATCTTGGCGGCATTTTCACATTTTTCAATAATTTTCACAAAATTGGAAAAGTGCTCCAGTACACAAACAGTCTAAACGCACTTGGGTAAACATTTGTACCAGAGTGGCGCTTAGACTGTGCTTAGCTTGGGTGATTTTTGAATTTTTAATCCAAAATTACAAAAAAAAATTTTTGAAAAAAAAATTAGAAACAGAAAATTTTTTTTTCCAAAATCAATTATTTTGTTGAAAAAGCAGAAAGTTCTTTGAATCATTTAAATCGGACGCTTAGTTCTCTCAAAAACAGCCATTTTTTTTAAATTTAGCTCTGTATCTCCGAAACCCCTGGGCCTACCTTTGCCAAAAACTAATCAGCACATCTCCCTATCAATAGGAATCGAATGTTTTTTAAACCATTCAAATCGGTTGATCCGTTCTCTCATCAAAACTCGCTTTCTATTTTTTTGCACTCTTTGGCTCCATATCTCCGTAACGGCTGGACCTGCCTTTGCCAAAAACTAATCAGCACATCTCCCTATCAATAGGAATCGAATGTTTTTTAAACCATTCAAATCGGTTGATCCGTGCGCCCGAAAACGTGGACGAAAAAACGCGGACATACAAAACACCACACACACACACACACACATCCATTTTTTCTGAGGTATGCCAAAATGTTCAGAACCTTCAAAACGTCGAGAAATGTAAAAATTTTGATTTCGATTTTTGGACGATTACTATAACTTACCCTACGGGAAGTTAACAAATACACATCTTTGTTCAACTTTTTATTTTAAACTAAATCATGGCAAAGCGTGAATGGGTACAGCTAGTTATCAATAAAACTAGTAAGTTGATGTACAGTGTAGGGCGGGACACAAAGGTCCAATTTGACATTGAGCAATTTTATTGTGCAAACTAAACCAATAATATGGACATCATAACATATATCAAACAGACAACTATCTGACTTTTGTTCAGTAGAACTCCCAAGCTATTCGTCATTGTAGAAATGTGTTTATTTTTTGCTGGTTTTCAATTGTCACCTGGTCTTTTTTACCTCATTATGGGTCATATGGGACGGGTAAAGTAGTAAATTAATATTAAATAATATCTAAATGATATTTACAAAATAATAGCTGCATTATTCAACCAATCAGGCAAAATATAAATTTCGTGGTGCATTTTTTACATTGTAGGTTACCTTGATCTTGTATTTCGTCAGAAATATTT